TACCCACTGACATGCATAGTCCCTCACCCTCCATAAGATATGCATTGCGAAGCACACAGATGTTGGCACACCTCAAAAGAGCATGCAGGCAGAGAGAAGATTCATGGTGCAGTGGGTGGGAGATTATGTGTGGAGATTGCCATGTGGCTGTTGTGAATGGAAAAATGGTTGGAAAGTAGATCTGAGAGGTGATGAGTTGAGAAACCATACATTACGGATAAGAATTAGTTGAGGGGTGATGCACTCTTCTTTTAATACATCTGTGGGCTGCTTGATCTGAGACCAGCCATAGAGACTATTAATAATCCTAATGAGTGGAAAAGGCTACAAGTGCTGATTCAGGTCAATTGAGAAGGATATTGTTATCCCATATTTGAATATAAGACTTTCTGAATCTAGAACGAATATTTGCATTTGTGCCGAGTTAAAGAATATTTGAATAAGGGATGGGAAGTGTTGTAAATATAAATGTTGCTGAAGTATTTTGAAGATTAGGAAAAAAGTGTTATAATAATTTTCAGAAGTAAAGGTGTCATAGTACCCATTTCGCCCTGCCATGTGGCATTTATCGATGGGCATTTATCAGTAACAGAGTTGGCTTTTACCTGACTCTCTTGCCAGTATGCTGGGCTCTGCTACACTCTTCTGTTTGCAGAAATGGCATCAGTTTCTCAGTTTCTTCTTTGCAGCAGGAATAGATCTCATTTTTGGTCTTTGAAGGAAGAACATGAGATTTGGAGATAGAGTTATACAATCCCAATATGATTTATTCTCTTTCATCTTTTATTATGTCCTTTGATTTATCATTACCTGCAAAATAAAAGCTAAAGTCTTAGTCCTGCCTTCAAAGTTCTGTGTTGGTAGTGCTCAGCTCTGGGTGAATATCAAAATAACACGAGAAACTGTTTAAAAATACCAAGCACAGGGTGGGATTTAGGCATCTGGATTTTTGTATCCACATTCATGAGGGATACCAACTTGTTTTCTTTTGTTGTAATGGATTATTGTGTTTTTGGTATCAAAATAATGCAGGTCTCATAAAAGATTTGGGAAGTGTTTCTCCTTTTTTTATGCCCTCAAAGAGCATAGAAATTGCAATTACTTCTTCTTTAAATGTTTAGAATTCACCAGCATTGCTTTCTGCATGAGGAGCTTTCTTTTTTGGAAGGCTTAAAAATACAGATTTAGTTTCTGTGATGGATATGGGCCTATTTAGGTGACCTGCTTGTTCTTGCATGAACTGTAATGGGGTTTTTCAAGAAGTGGTTTGTGTCCCATTCATTTAAGTTGTTGAATTTATGGACTTTATAATATTTCCTCATTTCTGTCATGTTTGTAGAATGCGTGGTTGATAACCCTTCTTTCATTCTTGATATTGGTAACTTGTGTCTTCTTTCTCTTTTTCTTTGTCAGTCTGGCTAGAGATTTATCAGTATTATTGACTTATTCAGAGAACCAGCTTTTGGTTTCATTAATTTTTCTCTGTTGTTTTTCTGTTTTTAATTTCACTGGTTTCTGCTCTTAAGCAGATTATTTTTTCCCTTTTGCTTGTTTTGGGTTTAATTTGCTGTTCTTTTTCTAGTGTCTTAAGATTACTGACTTGAGAACTGTCTTTTCTAGCATAAGCATGTTTAATACTTACAGACTGAAAAGTGCCCACCTTGCCATGCTTTCCTTTGGCTGCCTTCTTTCCACCCTGGACGCAACCAGTGTTCTATTTTTCAACATCCTTTCCCAGAATGCTGGATAGCATTATGGCAGTTATTTTATTCCATGCTTTGCCTTTTTTTTTTAACTTAGTAATTTGTATATAATTCTTTATCTTTCATATATTATTTTTCATTCTTTTTTATGATAGCATAAATAGCCAGTCTTCTATTAATGGGCATTTAAGGATAGGGCCTGGGTCTTGGTATTTTTAATATTTTTATTCTTTTTATGCATTTTATTATTAAAAATTTTATGCATGTGGTTTATATATCTTAAATGTCTTTTAACCTGTGGGTTTCCCTTTATTTTCCACCTTAAACCATTAGCTGGGTCCAGTAATGGTAACCTTCGCTTTCCCAGGATTTATTTTTTAAACAGTTTTTATTGAGAATTAGAAAATGCCTACAGAAAGATACTAAGATTAAGTACAGTGTAATGTAGCCCTGGGAAGCAGAACCATGTAGGTTCTCTGGCGGCTGAGGGACAGAGTACTGTCAGCACCCGGGAGCCCCTGGCGTGGTCCTTTCTGTGTCACCCCTTTCCTTTCTCCCAGAGGTAATCGATATCCTGATTTTTATGGAAACCTCTTCTAAGATTTATTTTTTACTTTCTTCTGGATATTCTCACATCACGAAATCGGTGTCTGCAAAAAAATGTTTGAGCAAGTTTACCTTAAAAAATGTTGTTCGCGGGGCGCCTGGGTGGCTCAGTTGGTTAAGCGACTGCCTTCGGCTCAGGTCATGATCCCAGGGTCCTGGGATCGAGCCCCGCATCGGGCTCCCTGCTCGGCGGGAAGCCTGCTTCTCCCTCTCCCACTCCCCCTGCTTGTGCTCCCTCTCTCGCTGTCTCTCTCTCTCTCTCTCTCTGTCAATTAAATAAATAAAATTAAAAAAATAAAAATTAAAAAAAATGTTGTTCGCTGTGCATCAGGGCTTCATCTACTGTTGGTGAGCACTTCCTCTTTGTTCTTGCTCTACTGGTCATCAGGCACAACTCCTCGCGCTCTGGACTTCAGGAATGTTCTCTCTTGTTGCTTCATCTTTCTGGGCCACTTTACTTCAGGATAGAAACCGCATCCATCATGGTTCTTAGCTGTAAGCAATAGAAACCATCTCTGGCTAATCTGTTAAAAGGATATGCGTGACCCACAGACTGTCTGAGAAGGTTGGGAAAGTGGGCTTGATGACCACACTGCCCAGAAAAATATCTCAAAATTTTGTCACAAAACTGGTCTCGTGAAGACACCTCTGCCACCTCTCTGGGGCACAGATATTGTTGCCTGTGCTCTGAATACCACTGCCACTGGGCTGGGGACCTGCCAGAGGAATCTGTCTCTGCTGTCTCAGGAAGCTGCATGTAACCCCTCCGGGTGCGGCCACCCTTGCAGGTGGACTCTTTGGAGTTCCTGCTTCTAAAAGCTAATCATTTTCTATGTGGGCTCGAATGGGTGCATCTTATTGGTGAAGCTTGGGGCATGTGCCCATGTCTTAGTGTTGAAGAAAAATGGGAAAGCAAACAGGTGAGGTTTTCTTTTTTTCCTTCTTCACACTTTGGTGGTGGGACATGTATTGGTCTCAGAAGATAGGGCATGCTTAAATATACACGTGGCATTTAGATGGTTGGTGACCAAAAAGAAATGTCCACTGTAAAAGTTCTGTATCAGTCTTAGAAATCCATTCCTTTTAATAGTTGTTCTTTATAGCTACTCATGTTGCTTATACAGTGCAGTAGGTATTTGACATGGGCATATTCCTTATGTTGGCAGGTGCCATAAAAGATATGGAGCAGTGTCTGCATTTCTAAAGAACTACATATTTAAAAACCCGGTCCTGGGGTGCCTGGCTGGCTCAGTCAGTAGACCATGCAACTCTTGATCTCCGGGTTGTAAGTTTGAGCCCCATGTTGGGTGTAGAGATCACTTACAAATAAAATCTTTAAAAGATAAAATAAAATAAAAACCCCATCCTAATTTTAGCTAATTGCAGGGATTCCTGTTTTATCTTATGAATAAACTTAATGAGTTGAAAATCAGACTGTAACAAACATTAGTATTTCCTGGAGATCTTTTCACTGTGAACCTTCAGGTTTATAGACCATTTGCCTTTTCCAGGTGTCATCTTACTGTATAAAAGTTTTGGAAAATGGAAGACGTTCTATTAGGATGATCAGTAAAGATAAATTAGGATGACACTTGCTTTTCAAAACCAAGATGATGTAGTTCTCATTATTGTAAAGCTATTTTACTCTTACTGTGACACTTTGTACACACAAGCTGTATAAAATGAACACAAAAGCCCATTGTTCATTTGCATGTGATGACTTCAAAAACTGGCTAGTGATGTTTTCACCTGCTGTGAACAAGGGCGTGCCTGGATGGATGGAGCAGTGGACACGTCGGGTCAGAGGGGCTTGCTGACATTGCTTTAGCTCTGCAGGTGATGTGCAGCACTGTTTTGGATAATTCATGTATGTTCTATATTTCATCTTTCCAGTCACTGAAAAACAATTCATATTACTATTCTTTCCCCTTCACTTTTCTCACAGTGGTAGTATGGGAAGATCTGAGACAGATAGAACAAGCTTCTTAGGATAAACACATCGTAACATAAGGTTGTCACAGAATGACAAAAACAAAGATGAATGTAAAATAAAATCTTTAGAGCAGTGTGTACCCTGTGGGTTGAGTACATAACAATAAACTATTGTTATCATGGTGGAAGGACACATTTCTGAATTATTCAGGCCAGGTGGTGCCTCAGTTTTTTTTTTTTTTTTTAAAGATTTTATTTATTTATTTGACAGAGAGAGAGTGAGAGAAGGAACACAAGCAGGGGGAGTGGGAAAGGGAGAAGCAGGCTTCCTGCCAAGCAGGGAGCCCGATGTGGGGCTTGATCCCAGGACCCTGAGATCATGACCTGAGCCGAAGGCAGTTGCTTAACCAACTGAGCCACCCAGGAGCCCCAGTAAAAACAACTCAGCTGTGGATTTCATAGGCTAAATTGATAGGAAATTTACTTCTGGTTCATCCATTTGGCCTCTGTGTACAGAGCCAGTAGAAATTTCTTTGCAGAATGTTTGTAAGCTCCTTTCCAAAAAACTCAGGTTTTTTGGAAACATATTTGAGGCCTTAATTCTGCAAAGGAAAAAATCCAAGGTTTCTAAAAATCCAAGGTAATATTGTATCATATAAAGGTAAGGGCCAGCTTATTAATTGCTTGATATGTAGTAATACCTTTGATTGCTTTTGTGGTTCCAGATAGCAATTGTTTCTAATATATTTTATTTTGCAGTGAGGGCCGAGGCAAGTTGACCGTATTTTCAGTTAAAACTATGTTAGCAACCATGTGTGGTGGAAAAATGCTGGACAAACTGAGATGTAAGTACTTCCATATTATTTGAAAGATTATATTTTCAGATCAGGACCTTTGAACAGTTTTAAATTAATGTTTTCAGAATTTTGGATGATGCTATATTGAACTTTTTTGTTTTTACTACATCATTCACTTTGTAGCAACTGGCTTGGAGTATGTAAGTTATGCCACCTACTGTTGAGGTGGAAAAATTGGTTCAACTAATTTGCTTAGTGTTTTTTTTTTTTTTTTAAATAAAACAATGAAACTAAAGAGATTCAGAACAGCAATGTTGACCTTGAAAAAAGTCTTTTAAAAATGCTTTCCATATTATCAAAAATTTTGCTTGCAGATGATTATGTTGAGTGCTTTTAGTTAGAAAATAAATGTGACTATTTTTACCAGGTTTGGTCAAGATTAGCCCTCTTTAAAATAAATTTATTCTTCAACAGGTGATACTTGCTGTGATTAAATTTTTCCTTAGTAGCTTAGAGTTAAGCACAGTTATTTAGAAATTTAGAGCCTGTTTTTTTGTTCATTTTTCCTAAATTTTTTCCTACTGTTGGCCATTTTGTCATTTTACTGTTCCTTAGATATTGTAAGATTAAATGAACTCAAATGAGGTGAAATTCACAGTTATTGAATTTTTTTGCATATGGTTTTCATTTATTTATTAGTTACTAACTGCCTAAGATATGCCAAGCATTGTTCCAACTGCTTTACATATATTTTCTCACTGAATGCTTAAAATTTCTTTGAGCCGCAGGTGGTATATTCTCCATTTTATAGATGAGTTAACTGAGGGGGTGAAGCTGGGATTTCAACTCAGGCTCTCTAGCTTCATAGCCCTGTTCTAAGTTACTTTGTTGTACCCCATATACTAATGCTGTAATGGGAGGCACATTCGTGATACAGTACAGTGATCAAAGTGCCATGTTGTAAGGAAGAAACTCTGGCAGGTTTCAGGGAGGTGAGATTGAACGTCTGGGTTTTAATGAAGCGTTGAGATACCCTATGAATTGCTTTGTTGAAGAAACTGGGTCATCTGTCCTATAGCATTTCTCATGGACTGGATTTTGATGATTGCATCCCCCTGATGTTCTTCTGTGTCCTACATTTTTTGTGTTAATTGAAAGATATAGAGGCTTGGTCAGATTTAAGCACAGGCTTTTGGGCAAGATGACTTGATAGGTGCATTTATTTTCTGTGCTTTTTCTTAAATGTTACCATGACATTGGAAGCTGGAAAGCTGGATGGTTCACTGGATATAGATAAAAATATTCTAAAGGAAGGTCTTAGATAATGTTTGGTCAGCTGTTATCTGGTTTATCTTCATTTCAAAATCAGCTGCAGTGTAAAACAAATTTTTAGTAATAAAACTTCCAGCTTTATTAAATACTCTTCTGAATATTTTTCACATGGTATCTCAAAATATTACTCTTTTAGGCTGAAATTTCTTAGTATTTTCTTAATTCTAGCATGGTGTTTTTCTGAGGAAGATAATATAATATGGATGAAATTATATTTCATTCAAACACAAAGAAAAAGGAAAGCTGGAATTTTATCTGTTTTTAATGATGATGACACCAGGTAAAGAGCATACATTGCTATCTTTGTCAGTACTGGAGAAAGTGGCTGAAAAATGGAAAACTGATGATATAACCGCATTGTAGGTAACTCTGGAATCTGTAAGTTTCTATGATTAAATCTGCTACATTTACATTGAGCTGGGACCTGGCACATAGTAAGTGTCAAAATTTTGCCAAATATCAATTGTTGATTGAGTACGAAAATTATTGCAATTCTCTGTTGTAACTGTTAGAGAAAAAGTGCAAATTTTAGTATTGTGTGAAATATGGAAGGGATCCAGGTGATGGCAGGTTGTTTTTGTTTTGTTGTTTTTTTAACGTGGATTTTTAACTTCTTGGAGGAACACAAGTGACCAGTATTCAAGTGACACAAAGGACACGTGTCCAGGCCAACATGACATGTCAGTGTGCTCAGAATGCCAGATCATTGCACATCAGATATGGATTGATGAGATACCGGCCATGCTGGCTCACTAACTACCATGTTTATATCATGCAGATAGATTTAAAATCATCTTCATGTTCAAAATTACAGTTTCTTTACCATCTGTAGCTCTGTTTCATTATTTTTGTTGTACTAATTATCTTGGCTTGAGAATCAGATGTTTAACGTAAATAAAATTTTCAGGTATTGAAGCCTGTCTCCACTTCTTAATTTTAATCATCCAAAGTGGAAACCAGTTTACATGTGGTCTGTCCGTCTTGTTTTATACAGAGCTCATGAGTTATAATTTACATATTTTTCAAAGCTTAGGGATGTCATCCTCTGGTGCATTTGGGACTAACTGTGAGGCTCTGGGTTTCTTGTCCCTTCTGATGTTTTCAGACGACTGCTGTCTCGGTTCTTGAGCTTTTTGTTGGTGGTGGCTGCAGGGGTGATGGTGTGTGTGTCCCCTTTATCACTGGTAAATGTGATCAGTCTCTAGAAATCTCTCTTTTGCTTCTGATTTACATTTAATATGGAGAAAACATAAGCAAACTTCTGCGCATTCTATTTAAGGTATGGGTATAAGTGACGACTGGGGCTTTTGTAGTGGGATTGGCAGTTTGGCTGTTGTAGGAATCCTTTTCTCCCTGGCTTTCAGGTTGCAGCTGTGTCCTGCTTAGTTGAGATGGCTGAATAATAGCGTAGAGAAGGGAGCCAGAACACTGTACTGTAACATCCAGTGACATTTGCTCTCTTTCTTCTCTCGGCTTGTTCCACTGACTTTGGTCTCAGTTTCTCCATCTTCCTGCCCCTGACTGCACTTTCTGCTGTTACCTCTGTTAATGTTCCTTTTAAATGAGGCTTTCAGGTTTATGGAATACAACTTAGTGTTTCTACTTTTCTTCCTTTTATTTTGATCTTTCTGCATTTTACCTCTTATTTTAGATTTCTTTTTCCTGTAATTTTCTCCCCTCCCCCTTTTTTATTTGGTATATTTTTTGTTTGCTTGTTTTGGGGTCAAGATAGCATTTAGAACAACTTAACCAATATTTGTACTGTAAGCTTGAACCATTTCTTGATTAGATTTTTCAGGTCTCTCTTAAGACAGTTTCTGTCCCCAGCTAGCACTCATTTATAGAAATAATTCACTGTTGTGGCCATTAGGGACTATATGCTAGATTCACAGTTAACTTAGGGTCAGATTCTAAATACCAGTGATTTAAAATCAGAATACAGACTTTAATTATAAGCATGATCAAAACAGTAATGTCAGAAACCCTAAAAAATAACTCAGAGAACAAAATTTACAGACTGTAAAGCCCATTATTTATGATTTGTCATTTAATTGTCATTTAATTTATGTGATTTATTTATTTTGTCCATTTCTGCTATTCGTTTTCTAGGAAACTTAGTCTCTTATTCAGACCTCATCTATCTTGCATTAAAAGATAGGAGCAGATGATTCATGTAGTTTATTTTTAAATTCTTTAAAAACTTGGTGTAACCATTTTGAAGAACAGTCTAACAGTATGTATCAGGAAGGCCATAAAAATATCCATATCCATTGACTCAGTCTATTTGTTGAGTTTACCTGGGGGAATTAATCAGAGTGCACTCTAAATTTTATGTATATTTGTTACGACATTTTTTATAATATGCAAAAACTTGAAAGAGCTTTAGTGTCCAAAACTCAGAGCTCAGTTATAGCTCGGGATAACCTCATGACTGAATATAATGTCCTCAAAAACGTGTTTCAGATCAAAATGCATAAATGTAATATAGTTTTAGAGAAAAATTTTTTATGCACATAGAAAAGGAAATAGTATACCAAAATGATAACAGGTGTTTTTTTCTGGATTGTAGCATAAGAATGTTTTTGTAATAATATTTTGCATGTTTCTGATAGACCACACTTTGAGTAGCTGAAGAAGAGATGATCTGAGGTGCTGTTTGTGCCCAGAACTGGCAGTTCTCACTGACATTTCAATTGCTTGCTTCCTTGCAGACTGTAGAGGGGCCATCCTTTGCAACTATAAACAGATTCACCTGTTCGAAATTTAGCCTCCGCTGCAATCATAGTCTTTTCACTGCCTGTCACTGCAGAGTTACCTTGGCTGGTTTCTGCTAACCGTGCCTTCTCGTCATTAGACAGAAATGACTCTTCAATCTGAATGAGTGATGTCCACATTTGCATTTCGCATATAAGCAAAACGTTCTAGAACTGGAAGCAAGTAAGAGATAAGTCCCAAATAAGTATTTTATCAGTAAGAAGAAAAAGAAAAACAAAACCAAGGGAGGCCTTGAGACTTGTCTGAAGTAGTTAACTGACTGAGTCAGCTCTACGGAGAGGCCCAAAGCATGCTGACTCCCAGCCTTCAGCCTCACTCTGACTCAGTGAAGGATGTAGTAATATTCATGAGTTTGGGAATAAAATATTCACTTGGATTTGGTTACGTACAGGTACTTACAAACATGCAGATGTATGTACATGTTTTTGTGGGTTAGATTACTTAGTTGGCAGAAAGATGATCGGCGGGAAGAGTCAGTTGCCAGAGAAAGCTAACATATAAAAGAAAATGGTATTCTGTTTATTGACGTGACTCTGTTGTAAACAACCCCGTCATCTTGCAAAAGCATGTGATTGGTTACATGGGGAGAAAGAAAGAGTGGATAGATACAGTGAATAAAACCAGGATCATTATCACCAGAAAAAGAAAACAAAATTGAAACATATGTGATGATGGTAGAATAGTAGCATTGTTTTGCCATTATGCAAAGAACAGAATATATTTTAAAGTGTGTATACATAAGCATTTAGGGACTTGATTGTGGGTATTTCACAAGGGAGAAAACCTACATTTGTATCTGGAAACAACTAATGGGGAATTAGCGTACCTTTTTTCAGAGGTGTATAAATAGAAGGAGAATTACTGGGGAAATTAACCAGCGTTCTGGGGAGTAATTTAGTCCCTTAATGCCAGAAGGGTTGAGGGCTTTAATTAGAGGATTAGTTTAATTTTTTATTAAATTCATTGTCTTATTTATTTCTTTGGTAATATCTTTTTATTTGTGTATAGTAAATCACACTAACTTTCATTGTTATACTTCATTTAAGACAAAAAAATTAGCAGTAATTTTATGCCATTTTTCTTACAGATAAAAGAAGCCTAATCTTTAAAATATATATATGTGTGTGTATATATATATATATATGTATATATATACTGTTGTAAAACAGTAACTCAGGAAGTAATCAATTACTTCACTGTGCTTTCAATTTGGGGTCTAGCAGTATTTCTCTTATTAAATCAAACAAAGAAACATGTTTCTGCTTGTCTCTTGTAAATGTAATATGGCCCTATTATGTTATAGTTTCTTTTTAATGAATTTTTAAAAAATTGATTACTCTAAATACATTTTATGACATGGTAACCAAGTGTAACAGAAAATAATACTTTTTTGAAGGGGGATGTTGGTCATTTTATTATCCAGTCACTCCCTTTTATTGTTCTGAATGAGTCAGGTGTAGATTTGTCAGTGCAGTGGATACGTAGATGTTTTGTGATTGTGAAACTGTAGATACTTGTATTTATGTACTTGGTAGCATTAGTTTCCCGTCTTGAATATTTCCACCTTTTAGTTAGTGAGCACAACCTAATCACATGCTAGTTTATCAGTTTATTCATACACTGAGTGGCAACAAAAAAGTTAACTAACAGTGGCTGAAACACATTGGGATTAATTTTTCTCCTGTAAAAATAAGTCCAACGGCTGGTAGGTCAGAGTCGGTACCATGACTGAAGGGTGTTGTCCGAGACTCAGGTTCCATCGTCATGTCCTGCTCTGCCATGTGGCTTTCCTCCTTACGATCTTAAGTGATTGCTGGATGGGCCTCACATTCCCTTTCCAGGCGGAAAGAGGAAAGAAATGCCTCTCTCAGGAAAGCAGAAGCATTCCCAGAAATCCAGTTGAGGGTTACATGGTGCAAAAGAGACACAGGGTTCAGCTGGGAAGCAAGCAGGGGAAAATAGATATTGAGTAGTTACACACCTCACCACATCCCATACTGACCCTTTGTTGTCATTCAGGTTATTTTCCTCATTATAAGAATAGCACCCAGCTCTTTAAAAATGAAGTCACTATGCGCTCCCCTCCTTAAGGGCATCAGTTTTTCATATAATTGGCAATATCTTCCAAGCTCTGTATCTTGAGCTGTGGCCCAGTACTCCGGTTCTAACTGCCTGCGGGGTGGTTCTACTTGGACATTTGCTGGTTGGTTCCAATATACTTATGTACAAAGCTAAGTATCTTTATCTTCATTTTCTTTTTTTCAGTCAGGATTGTCAGCATTTTCCCATACTAGAAACTTAGAATAATCCTAACTTTTTTTTTTAAGATTTTATTTATTTATTTGACAGAGAGAGACAGTGAGAGCAGGAACACAAGCAGGGGGAGTGGGAGAGGGAGAAGCAGGCCTTCTGCTGAGCAGGGAGCCCGATGTGGGACTCGATCCCAGGACCCTGGGATCATGACCTGAGCCGAAGGCAGACGCTTAACGACTGAGCCACCCAGGCGCCCTAATCCTAACTTCTTAAATTCCTTTATTCCCTAATCCAGTTTGCCATCAGCCATAGTTTCCTGCATTGAAATATCTTGGAGGTGACCCTGGCCCCCCCTACCCCCACACTGTCACTGCTGAAGTTCACACACTCGCTACCTCATTTGTGCATCATTCACAGGGTTTACTAGCTGATTTCCCCAATCCTGTTCTTCCTCTTTTGTCCATTCTCCTGGTCACTAACAGTCTAATTTTATTAAAACTTAGTTTTCTTAAATATTTCTCCCTTATGTAAGAGTTTTTAAGCCAAATTCAAAGTGCTTTCCTCTTTCAAAGCTTTCTTTCATACCAGATACTTTTCTTATTCTGTCTTTATTTCCCTTTATTTCTCAATCTAAATTAGCTTTCTTGTTGAAGAATGCACTCAGTGCACTGTTTCCTGCTTACCTCCCCTAACAAATACAAGTGGCCTTAGAAAGTTTCCTCCTCTTCTCTGGTTGTGTCCCCCAGCCCCCACCTCCAACCTGTTTTGATCTCATCATTCCAAGTTCTACCTTTCAAGGCCTAGCTCGTAAATTCCTTTCTTTTCGATCTTTCTTGACAGTTCCTGCCTCTGTGTTTTTGTAGCTGTTCTAAACTATATTTTTTATTTTTATTTTTTTAATTAATTTTTTATTTTTAAAGATTTTATTTATTTATTTGAGAGAGAAAGAATGAGACAGAGACACCATGAGAGGGGGTAGGTTCAGAGGGAGAAGCAGCGGGGAGCCCGATGCCGGACTCGAACCCAGGACTCCAGGATCATGACCAGAGCCGAAGGCAGTCACTTAACCAACTGAGCCACCCAGGTGCCCTGTTCTAAACTATATTTTGAAGAAGCTGTGTGGTATGATGGGATTGCTTTGAGGTCAGAGAAGTAGAACTTCAGATCTTGACTTAGCTACTTACCAACTTTTTAGTCATAAGCAAGTTAACCTTTCTAAGCTAGTTTCTTTATCTTTACAATTTAAATAATTACATGTACACACATACACCTTTTTGTGAGTGTAAAATGAGGTAATGTTTAGTAACGTATAGTAGCACTTAGTATTAGGGATTATAGCTTGAAAACAAAAACCCAGGATGATAGTGTCTTAAACAAAGTTGAAGTTTATTTTTCTCTTATATAAAAGAAGTCTAGGGTTAGGTAGTCCAGGGCTGATACGGTAGTTCATCTGGGACCTAGGCTTTCTCTACCTTAGTTTTCTACCCTTCTAGAGTATCAAAATTGCAATTACCACATAGTCCAAGGTGGCTGCTGCAGCTCCAGCCATCATAACTACATTTCAGATAGCAAAAGGAGGAAGAGCATGAGGGGGGAAAAAGGGCCTGCTTCCCAGCTTAGTCAGCTTTCTTTAACCAGCTTTCCTGGAAGTCCTTCACAACCATTCTAATGATAGTCTCATTGGCTAGTACTTAGTCACATGACCACCACTTGCTAAAAGGAGGCTGTACATTTTGGTCTCTTGGTTATTGGGTACATTGTTGCACAAAATAAAATTAATGTTCTATTACTAAGAAACAAGGAGATAATTAATGTTGGGTGGCTATAGGCAGCCTCAGCCATGGTTACTTGTAACTTTGTGTGCTTGACAAATAGTGAGGCTTGACAGGTATCTTTATGCCTCTATTCTTTCTGTTCCACCTAGTGTCAATTTAGTGCTTTATTTCTCTTTGCTTCAGATGTATCTTATTTTTCAGCTACATTGAAAGTTTCTTGGGGGATAAAGACTGTATATCATAATTCTTTGTAGTGTTTCATAACACCTAACAGAGTGCTTGGCATTTGGACCACACAGTAGGAACTTAGTATGTATTAAGTAGCTGATTTTATTTTTCAGTAGGACCACATAGTTCTTTTAGCCTCTCATTGAATCTCCCCACCCGCCATGAGTATTTAGTACTTTTTCTTCAACTTCAAAGTAGCAGCTATCTAGAGAGGATGTACTGCAGGTTTTCATTCCTTTGATAATTTCCTGTTTCTAATGCCTAAAAAGTTACTCCATGGAGTTGATATTCTAATGTTTTATCTTTCTTTGGTTAATGTATCTAAAATGTATTTGTTTTACACCTAGTGCTTCAGGATAAATACCTCAGATTAAACCTAAGGAATAATGCATATTTGTATGTAACACATATCAATTACATATATATTTCTAATACACTTATTCATTATGAATATGTAGAATAAGACTTTTCAAAATGCCACTTTTGGCAAAGCCTCAGGAAATGATTTTTCTGCATATTTAATTCACTCATTTGTAAGGAAGCTCAATGGTTTGAAAAAAAAGCTTAGGTCACATTTCTTTGTCATAGTGATTTTGAGCTGCTAGTGATTTTTCTTTTTCTCCCCGACCATGGATGAGAAGAGAGGAAGAACTAACTGGAGAGAGGAGACTCTCTCCAAGAAGATAAAGAAAGAGTAAATACTGGCAATTTCTTTCCCATCTGCTTGAGTCAGACTTTATGGTAAAAATAAGATCTTACAGTATCAAAGTATCTTGGGATAGAAGAGTTTATAGGAGTTCTTTTTATTCTACTTTGGAACTCACTGAATGGAAAATTTTAAACATGCTTTGTGCTTCCTTCAAATTTATTCCTTCACAGGTATTCATTACATTATTAGCATATGAATATATAAATATAATACAATCTCATACCCCATAACCAGTGTGCTAATATGTTCATATACCCAAACATGTGTATGTCTTATAGAAACACATATATAAATTTTAAGAGATAAAAGCATGCTGCTACAAATTCTTCTTGGAACAAAGTTAGTTATAAATAAAATAAAAACCTTATCATCGAATTATGCACACTCAAAAAGAGTAGGTAGGTGGACCTACAGAAATGGTTATTTGGTTTGATGTTTAGATATATATTAAACATGTGGGAGAGAGGGGCCTGGTCAATAAGTAACTATACAGTGTTAATAAGGAGAATACATATTAACTAAAAATCATATTAGCGTTATGATAATTTTTAATGTTCCTTTTTGACTTATACAAATGACATAGAGTCATTTATTTATAAAAAGTTGATATTTCTTTCTAGTTTGACTTTATTTGGTTTTGTTCTCATAGATGTTTTCTCCCAGATGTCAGATTCCAATGGCTTAATGATATTTAGCAAGTTTGACCAGTTTCTGAAGGAAGTTCTGAAGCTCCCAACAGCTGTCTTTGAAGGGCCATCTTTTGGTTACACAGAGCACTCAGTCCGCACCTGTTTTCCACAGCAGGTAAGGACAGTTTTGTAAAATATAGGACTAGAAGAGCGCTCATTCATCCCTCCACCTTGTGTCCGATTTCACCAGATTGCTTCTGGTCTAGGGACATAAAGTCTTGAATAGGAGAGAAAAAAGAGCTGTAAGGGGGAGCGGCGTGAGAAAGAGGATGTATAAAAAAATTCACCTGAGAATTCTGGTTTGGGGGAGAGAGGAGTCTTTCCTGAAAAATGATAACATATGAAATATTTTAAACTACTAACATTTTAAAGAAAAGTGTTTAAGATGAAGTGTTTATATTATTGCTACTGGACATATATTACTCTCCTGAATGAGTTCTTTAGACTGTGAAATACAGGAATTTTGTTATAAAACTCTATACAATACCGGACCTTTTTTTCCTGAGCACTGAAGACAAGGAACGCTACACAACTCCCAGCTGCCAGTTCAGAGTCCCTCAACGGTACACTGCCGTTTTCATGTGAAGAAAAGATAGATTGGGTTTCTTCTTTATTTGTGTGTCCTTTTGTGATCCTGCCTTTGAGGTTGTATGTGTGAATTCCTGAGGTCTTAACTGTGCCTCAGATAACTCCGAGCAGGATGGACACTGATTGTAATGTCATTTATTCAGGTAGACATGAGGTAAACGGAGCTTCATGCTAAACTCAGAAATTATGGAAAGTGGGGAATTAAGAAAAATTAAGAAAAAGTCTGTGTTAAAACTAATGAGTAAAAGATTAATGGAAGTAGGATATTGACATAGTCTGAGAGTATCTCCTCAGAAGATGTTTATTAATTATAAAAGGAAACATAGTAAACTTAGACAATTTCTATGTTGTAATAGAGAAACCTGTCAGATCCACATTAACCAAGTGATCAAAGTCCCTGTCACCAGTAAAGGGGACAGACTGATATCCCTGCCTCCCAATAGGATGCACTGAGAAGTACCCAGTATCACTGCTGCGGTACTTGGGCCAGAAAAGCACAACCTGAGTCTCGTATTCCTTTTTTTTTTTCCCCCATTTTTTTATGTTTGATTTTATTTTTTACAGTTTTATTGAGATGTAATTGACATAACACTGTAAAAGTTTAAGGTGTACAACATAATGATTGGATATTTGTATATATTGCAAAACAATTATCCACCATAAATTTAATTAACATCTGGTGTGAGTCTCATTTTGAGGAAACATCTGACAAACCCAAATGAAGGGATTTCTACAAAATAACTGGCCTATGCACTTTAAAAATGTCAGTGTCATGAAAGACAAAAAAGACTGAACTGTTCTGTTACAAGAGTCTAAAGAGAGAAAAAAAATGCAGTTTATGATCCAGGATTTTCTTTTGTTATAAACTATAGGACATTATTGGGACATTTGAAAAAAATCTGAATAAATTTTGAAGACTAGATAATAGTATTTTGTCAATAAATGTTAATTGACTGATTTTGATATTTGTATTAAATTAAGAGAATATCCTTGTTTTTAAAAAATGTGATCTGAGATATTTAAGGGCAAAGGGTCATCCCTTCTGGGGTGTTAACATTTGAGGAATCTGGGTAAATGGGAAGTTTTTGGGTAACCTTCTTACAATCTTACAGTCTAAAATTATTTAAAAATAAGTTAACATATAAAAAGAACAAATCTAAAGGTTTGAGAACTGGAAGTACATTGTAAACTAGATCCTCCTGACCTGTGATACTTTGATTCACAAGAGCCAAAACCAAGCACACACATACTTTTTTTTACATTTAAAGTTAAGAATTCCTATTTATCTGAATTCAGACTTTCAAACAATATTTTACAGTTTGTTTGGAGATTACTCATTAGCTTTAGCACCAAAAGTGATACCCATAATACTGGTGAGTTATTTTTACCAAGTTCTGAGGGGATGTTCTTCCCCAAATTTGTATGCACTTGGGCTGTTTGTTTTTGTGGAAATTTGTCTTCATACGTTATTTTTTTTCCTCTGTGTAAATGACAATATCAGCTTTTAGCATATTAAAAATAGCTGTGTGCTTCACTTTATTCTAATAAAGTATAGTTTGCACTTCCCGTCCCCACCCTGAATATGCATTTTTAAATGATGTGAGGCTGTCCATACGTACCCTGGTACAGGAGTGTACTGCAGGTATAAAATGCCTGGAAGCAATGTGAGTGAGGGTGGGTATGATAAAGAAACTGCAAACATTTTTCATTTAGCACTCATCTCACTGCTGCTACTTTCGTAGTACCATTTCATCAAATGGTACTATACAGTACTCGGGTAATCTTGTATAAGACGTACATGTGGCTTTTCACACAAGATGCTTCCTGGAGGTCAGGCTAAAAGTTGATCAAGTTCTGGAATGCTACTATTAAGTGTCAGAATGGGGAAGGCAAATTTATATAAAGGCGTGTCCATAAAGAACAACATCTGACCAGTGGATGACAATTATGTGGTGTGCTAAACCCAAAGTAACCTTTGATCTACTTGTAATCTGAGTACTATGATGAGACTCTAGTATTGCAGCAGAAGTTTGAAATGTCGAAGAATATACAAAAATTTCCAACTGTTAATCCTAAGAATGCTATCTAGAATTCTCTGGATTACCTTATGCCTTTATTATGAAGCCTTTGAACTCAAAGCTGACTGTTGCTTCTTATCTGCTTCAGATTCTTAGAAAAAACTCAGTCTTTGTTTTTTTTTTTTAAGATTTCATTTATTCATTTGAAAGAGAGAGAGAGAGAGAGCATGAGTGGGGGGGGCGGAGGGAGAGGCAGAGGGAGAGGGAGAAGCCAGCTCCCCGCTGAGCAGGGAGTCTGATGTGGGGCTCCATCAATGCCTGTGGAGATTTAGTTGTGCTGTAGTAGTGTTGCCGCTGTTTTGTTAGCCCTCTGTCACAAGGCTGCCTAGGTTCTTAGGTTTGTGCCAGCCCTGTTTTTCTCATATACCTTATTTTTTTTATTTTTTATTTATTTATTTTTAAAAAGATTTTATTTATTTATTTGACAGAGAGAGACACAGAGAGGGAACACAAGCAGGGGGAGTGGGAGAGGGAGAAGCAGGCTTCCCGCCGAGCAGGGAGCCCGATGCGGGGCTCAATCCCAGGACCCTGGGATCATGGCCTGAGCCGAAGGCATACGCTTAACGACTGAGCCACCCAGGTGCCCCATACCTTATTATTTTTAAAATCCACAGTTTTGCAGTATGTGCAGTTTCCCAGTAATGTGTGCATTGCATTACAGGAGAAATACTTGAATTTTTTTTAAAGATATGAAGAAAATTTACATATTTGTTTATTTTTATATAGCTTGAATTCTTTTTTGAAAAACAATTTTGCAAACTAATCCAAAACAAGAGATGTTGGTCTTACATAGTTTTAAAAACACATCAAAAATTAAAAGCATTTATAAATTAATTCAGCAGAACACATCAACTAGAATAGCTAAAATTCAGACTGACACCAAATGCTGGTGAAGATTTGGAGCAACTAGAACTCTCATACAAACCACTTTGGAAGAGGCTCTGGTGGTTTCCTACAAACCTCAACAGATACCTACCCATGATCTGGCAATTCTACTCTTAAGTTTTTCCCACATGAAATAAAAACTTATATCCACAAAAAGTTTTACACGGATGCTTTTATCAGTCTCAGAAGCATCTGAGGTGTCCATAATAAACCACTGGAGTAAAGTTAATTCAAGAAACAATATGTCTAGAATTTGCTTCAAATTAATCCAGACTGAAGGAAGGGTGAAGGCATAAATTAAAATTAGTCATATGGGGATGCCTGGGGTGGCTCAGTCAGTTAAGCAGCTGCCTTCAGCTCAGATCATGATCCCAGGATCGGGATCGATTCCCACATTGGGCTTCTTGCTCAGCGGGGAGCCTGGTTCCCTCTCTGCCTGCCACTCCCCCCCAGCTTGTGCTCTCTTTCTTTCTGACAAATAAAATCTTTTTTTTTTTTTTTAACACTTGTGACATTAAGAATTTATTTAGGTCGTAATATTTTCACATTGTTTTTAATCATTTGCAATGTTCTGAGTGACACATTTAAACATTTTTTTAAAGACATGAGATAATGGTGTGTTTTTTTGTTTTTTGTTTTTTAAGTACAACCACAACTATAAAGTAGAGGAACTTAAGAAGACAAAGACCAAATCTGCTCATACACAAGATGGGGCAATCTAATACACAGCACAATGACAAATAAAATCTTAAAAAAAATTAGTCATATGTTGAGAATTGTTGAAGCTGGATGACAAGCATATTATACTACTCTCTCTATTTTGGTAAATTTAAAAAAATTAATAGAAAAATTAATTCTCGTTGTAAATTTGTGATCGTGATTATTGTCTGAATAAAGCACAGTGTTAACATAGCACCTCACATCTAATATTTTGGTGGGTAGACCAAATATATTGATTCTTTCACTGGTTATTTATTGTTAAAGATTTTATTTATTTGAGAGAGAGAGTTTGTGTGGTGGGGGGAGAAGCAGAGGGGGAGGGATAGGGAGAGAATCTCAGGCAGACAACACTGAGCGTGGAGCCGAATGTAGGGCTCGATCCCACAACCCTGAGATCGTGACCTGACCCGAAACCAAGAGTCAGATGCCTAGTGAACTGAGCCACCCAGGTACTCCTGATTCTTCAATGGTTATAAACTAACAAACTGACTTTAGAGGCTTAAAAGTTATTAAAAACAAGCAGTGAATAGCAGTATTTTAAATTTCTCCCCAGTTTTTCTAAACTTCAAAATTTGGTGATGAATTCTATTTCTCCTTAAAAAGATGATTGCTATTTGTTGTATTATTTCTTAGGCTTGTATTGACTTTAGTTTGAAGTGTTCAGTCCACCCTGCAGAAGATTTTATTTATTTTTTATTGTTTTTTAAATGTGTGATTTTTTTTTTAAAGGAGGAGGTGGGGCAGAGGGAGAGGGAGAGAGAGAATCTTCAGCAGGCTCTATGCCCAGCATGGAGCTCATCGCGGGGCTCGATCTCTCCAACCCTGAGATGCTTAACCGACTGAA